CGCGCCCCCCCCCCCCCCCGCGCCCCCCCCGGCGGGTGGGGGGGGGGGGGGGGGGGGGGAAAAAAATGAGGAGACGCAAAGGTGGGGAGTAGTGGTTAAAGCACTTACCTGTGAACTAGGAGAATCAGGTTCAATTTCTTGCTCCAAATTTGGCTGAATGGAACTTGAACTTTATGTTCTGTGTGCTGGGGAAGTGCTCTAAATCAGTGTTCTCAACCTTTTATTTTTATATATATAAAGTACCCCCTTTAAAAAATATTATAAGTACCCCTACAGTTTTCAGACACACAATTTTTTTTCTACCATAGCAACACACTGTTTAAACAATTTAATTGTAGCCGGGCGGGCGATGAAATTTTTGGGTGTAAAAAGTACAAAAATAATGAAGTACTGTAAAACTTAAAACAAAAATTCAGTTTTCTCCAAATTTCAGTTTTGTCAACATACCCGCCAGACTTCTCTTGAGTACCCCTAAGGGTACTCGTACCACTGGTTGAGAGACACTGCTCTAAATCACTGGGCTACTGGATTATGGGCATAATCACACACCCCGCATCTAGCCACAGAAATTCCCAATATGCTTGTCCCGTCTGTGTGTTGCGTAGGGCCTGTGCAGTGAGCATGCCTACTGGATTGGATCCTGCAAGTGAGCTTGCACCTTGCCTTGTTTGAGAATCCCACCTGAACTAAAATGCAGAGCACCTCGGCAACATTAGGACTTGAATAGTTTTACAGATGCCTTCTAGCCAAACTTAGGCACCTAAATTTCCTTGGCTCCTGTTGGGTTAGGTTAGAGCTGAGCAGGGGTTTCAAAGATCACATGCTCACCTAAATGTTGGATTTTGGTGCCTAAATTGGCAGTTAAAAGCCTAAGTCACTTTGTGGATTTCACCCTGTACAATGGGACAGCATCCAGTGACTTAGGAGCTTTGTTTGAAAGTTGATTTTGTTTTAGCACATAATGTTTGAGATCTCCACTCCTATCTTCAGTGTTCATGGCAATTTTAAGAGTGTTAGCCTGGACAATTCATATCAGCTTCCGAAGTTGGGAGGTCAGCCCACCTTAAGACAATATGGAGACATTATAATGGTGTGCTCTAACCACTGATAATCTGTTTTAAATTGCATTCATTGTGTGCAATTTCTTGGTATGTAAGATCTTGCAGCTTCATTCAATTCATGTTTTATTCTGTATATGATACTGTTGAATAGATTTCACTTTTTTTCTTTTGTCACTGTCACATTTGTGTTTGTTGTTTCTTTTCCTGCTAGCTGTCAGGGCATGAAAAGGTATGGATCTTAGCGTGGAAAACTTTCTTTCAATTTGAGCATTTGTGTTCATAACGAGCTGATGCTGTTTTGTGTGTTTGTGTGTGTGTGTGTGTGTGTGTGTGTGTGTTCTTTTAATGTTTGCTTTTTTAATTCTTTCTTTATATTGAGTGTTCTGGGTTTGGTTTCTGTCTCTCAAAGACAACTCTTAAATTCTGCTACTGGTTATATATTAACTGGGCCTGGGGAAGTTCCTTCTAGCAAATTAATTTGGTTTGTTTGCATTGACATATCCACATTTAATCTGGTGTATTCCTTGGTGTGCAGAGACTATATTTAAATACAGCTGCCTCTTGCAGATTGTCTTGTGGAGGCATACCTCTGTCTAAAGAATAAAATTGAACCAACTTAAAAATTATCTTCAGATGGGATATTCTAGTATAGCAAATATACTGTAGTATTGTACCAAGTCCAATTTGTGCTAAAAATAGCAAGAATGTTATTCAAGGTTATTTTTAGCTATCCTTTTAATTTGATTTTAAATATAAGTGAAATTAATAATTAACTAATCCTTTAAAGAGTGCATTTAAATATTGCTGTTCAAATTAATCCAATTTATTTCCCTGCAGGTTCAAACAGCATCATCAAGAAGCTATGTGGGTTCAGGTGCCCCAGCTGGAGTGAACAAAGATGAAGACACTAGTCGTTTTCATACCACCAAAAGAGGCAATTTCCATGAAATCTTTAACCTATCAGAAAATGAGCGCCCTTTGGCAGGTATTTAATATATGTACCAAGTTGTAGTGGTGGAGAAAATTAACTCTTTTGAACTAGTCAAATATATAATTAAAAGTCTTGGCGTTTGCATATCCTAGCACTATTCAGAAGTGAACTGTATGGCAATATTATCCACTCTAAACTGGTGTAGATGAGAGATCAAGCTAATCTTTTATTCATAAAATTATCTGAAAGAGCCTAATGCTTTCAGCCTGGCTTGTCTCTTGTCCCTACAAATTGGTAGGGGAGAAAAGGTGCTTAGTCTATTCAGAAGAAGTCATTTAATCTATTGTTTGAAACAAATATTTTCATGTTTTGGAAAACCTTGACCTCAATGGCTATAGAGCAAAGCCTTGCAACTGGAAGAACATACATGAAACTTCATTTGTACTATGTGGTGCTTTTTATAGGAGAATTTTCTGATTGCTGGGGAGCCATCTGTCTCATTTTTAAATCTTTCATCTTTCTTTCCTAAGACACTGTCCTTGAAGTATTTGACTTTGTGTGTTGTGTTTTCTGGTAGTATGTGAAAATGGTTGGCGCTGCTGCTTGATTAACAGAGACAAGAAGATGCCCACGGACTACATTAGGAATGGAGTTCTTTATGTTACAGAAAAGTGAGTCATTGGTACTTGGCAGTGCATTGTTTGGAAGGACGGCGGAATAAACTTATTGGGAGCCCATTTCCTTTTATAAATACAGTTAAAACAAAGAAATGCAATTTAAAAGAAATGCAAATGTAATCCTATTGGAAGACCTTTTCAGTGTTTTTTCATAATATTAAAAAATAGAGAAACTGTATAAGGTAGTAACAGTTGGAAATTTGTTAAATCCTACCATGTTCCAATGTGTTAGATGTCTGAAGTATTTGTAACATAGGAAACCATAGCATCTGTGTTTAGTATTTTAGTGCTTGTTACAGTGAAATTATGAGAAAGTAAAGCACTAGCTACTTAAATATGGTATGATACCAAACTGGGTGGGGTTGCGACTTCTTTGGAGGATAGGGACATAATTCAAAATGACCTTAGCAAGTTAGAGAAATGGTCAGAGGTAAACAGGATGAGGTTTAATAAAGAGAAATGCAAAGTGCTCCACTTAGGAAGGAACAATCAGTTCCATACATACAAGACGGGAAGCGACTGTCTAGGAAGGAGCATGGCAGAAAGGGATCTAGGGGTCATAGTGGACCACAAGTTGAATATGAGTCAACAGTGTGATGCTGTTGCAAAAAAAGCAAATATGATTCTAGGTTGTATCAACAGGTGTGTGGTAAGCAAAACTCATGAAGTCATTCTGCCGCTCTACTCTGCACTAGTTAGGCCTCAAATGAGTACTGTGTCCAGTTCTGGGTGCCACATTTCAAGAAAGATGTGGAGAAATTGGAAAGGGTACAGAGAAGAGCGACAAGAATGATTAAAGGTTTAGAGAACATGACCTATGAAGCCAGGCTTCATGAACTGGGCTTGTTTAGTTTGGAAAAAAGAAGATTAAGGGGGGACATGATAGCGGTTTTCAAATATCTAAAAGGGTGTCACAAGGAGGAAGGAGAAAATTTGTTCCTCTTGGTTTCTGAGGACAGGACAAGGAGTAATGGGCTTAAAGTGCAGCAGGGGAGGTTTAGATTGGACATTAGGAAAAAATTCCTAACTGTCAGGGTGGTCAAATATTGGAATAAATTGCCAAGGGAGGTGGTGGAATCTCCCTCTCTGGAGATATTTAAGAACAGGTTAGATAGACATCTGTCAGGGATGGTGTAGACGGAGCTTGATCCTGCCTTGAGGGCGGGGGGCTGGACTCGATGACCTCTCGAGGTCCCTTCCAGTCCTATTATTCTATGATTCTATGAAAAGTCTCATTATAGTTTATCAAATGTTAATGTTTTGCTATATATTTCGAATGCTGACAAACTCCTGGTAAAAATGAATGTATGCCTTTAAAACACAGTTGAATAAGTTTCAGAGGGGTAGCCATGTTAGTCTGCAACTGAAAATACTTGAGAATAAAAAACAGCGAGTAGTTCTGCAGCACCTTAGCTATGTCTACACAGCAGCATTATTTCGGAATAACTGATGTTATTGTGAAATAATGTAGTCTATGTCTACACTACAAGTAGTTACTTCGATATAATGTCCAGCTGGAGGACTTCTTAACTCCTGTAATTCTCATTTTACGAGGAGTAAGGAAGTCGAAGGAAGAGTGCTCTTTTTTGGACTTCCTGTTGTGTAGACAGCACCAAAAGCCATAATAAACTATTTTGACTTGAGCTATGTCAATTGCGTAGCTTAAGTTGTAGATTATTTCAGCTTTAGCTCTGCTGTGTAGATGTGCCCTTGGAGACAACAAAAAATGTAGATGGTCTCATGAGCTTTTGTGGACACAACCCACTTTTTCAGATGAATGGAGTAAAGGGGTCCAGGTTGCAAATAAATAGCAGCAAAAGAGAGGGTATGGGGATGGAAAGGGAAGGGAAAAATGGAGAAAAAAATGAGGCTAATAGAGTGGGCTCTAAGTATTCTAAGTTCCTAGTGCTTAGCATTTTATACCATTAGGATGTGGAAAGTAGCAGCCCATCCAGGTCAGGTCTTGGTTTAAACTTCTTCCCTTCTCTATCCCCTCTCTTTCTCTGCTATTTATTTGCAACCTGGACCCCTTTACTCCATTCATCTGAAAAAATGGGTTGTGTCCACAAAAGCTCATGAGACCATCTACATTTTGTATCAGTCTCTAACGTGCTACAGAACTATTCACTGCTTTAAAGTTTTTTACAGTTGAATAAGTTAAACGTTGGTTTCAGAATCAAAGCTGTTTGCTCTACACACACTGGGTGTGTATTAGCAATGCTTCTTGGGATCTTAAACTGAAATTCCTTGAGTGTATTAGAATCTGGTAGGACTAACCCTCATCTATATACTATGGCAGGTGAGAGGAGATAATTCAGACATCTAGAATTTCAAGTTTTATTTTAGCATATCTTCATCAAGTTTGTCTGCATTATACAGTAAACTTCCGATAATCCGGCACCTTTAGGACCCAGGGGGCTGCTGGATTATCAGCTATGCCGGACTATCGGAAGGGGGGGCTATGAGGGGTC